AAGGAATGGATCAAACAGGTTGATGGGATGTTTCTTTCCTACTAAATGGGTTTCAAAGAATAATTAACATGTTTTGGAGCGGAGGATTAAAAGCTTAAGCACTATTACATATTTCACCTTTCAAATCTTTTGTTAAAGGGTAGTAAAATCTCGTTATTAGTTGATATATACCGGTATATATTGTTTTTCACTCATTCTTAAGTGCAATGAAAACTTCTGTTTCTTTCATGTTTCTGAAGTCGTGATGAATAGTCTTCCTACTGAGGTTTTGATAGAGACCTTTCAGTACTCTGAACCGACCATCTTATTCAGGGATGTAGCGTCCGTCTGTGGACGCTGGGCCGAGATTTCTAGAAGCCCACCACTTTGGTCGAAATACATCTACCCCAATCTTCAAAGTTGTGTCTGCCTTTCAAAATCAGATGAGCATAATGAGTTTTCCAACTACATGTATATACCATTATGCACCAATGTGGAGAAGCTTCTGCTTAGTAGCGAACATTTATGCCCATTGCAGTCATTGCATGTGCTAAAAAAGCTGAAAGAGTTCACCTTTTTCCGGCTGGTTACATGACAACACTGAGGATGTATGTCATTGAAACATTTTCATAATCTTCCCTATCAGTTACCCTACATATATTTGATGTTAAGATTTTAACTATCATGTTGTATGGTTGTGAAGTCTGGGGCATTTATCCATCACCTAACATAATTAATGTTTATGATAAGTTTTGTAAGTCAGTTTTACATTTATCAAGGAACACTCCCAATGTTGCTGCAAGGGGTGAACTTGGACGTTACTCTGTAAAAGTTAATCAGTTTGTAAAAATCATGAAATATTGGTTAAGGCGTTTGTCTCAAGAGAAAAATCTTATATTGAAACATGTTTATAATTATCAACGCAAGTTGGCTTCCAAAGAAATCAACTGTTGGGCTCTAGATGTAAAGAATTTATTATTCAAGTATGGATTTGGTCACATTGGCTTGATCAGGGGTTTAATTGAGTATTTTATAAGACAGTTTAAACAGAGATGCATTGATATTGATACTCAAGAAAGTTTATTCTAAGCTAAAGTTTTATAGACTATCAAGTTGAGGGTTAAATTTGAAGAGTGTTTGTAACTGGTTAAGGTTCATGTTCTTCGTTTTGCTTTGAGTAAGTTTCGTTGTTCAGACCATCCTTTATTGTTGGAATATGGGAGAAAAGTAAATATAAAACAACATGAGCAATTCTGCCCTCTGTGTATTGTACTTGCCATTGAATCAGAGTACCACTTCTGTATTGAATGTGCATTTTCTGTGATCCGAGAAACAGCCTGCTCCCACAATACTACATAGATAATCCATGTGACACTAAATTTATCAGCTTATTGTCTTGCAATTCTACAACTGTTAACAATCTTGCGAAGTTTATATTTCTTGCATTGAAAAAGAGAGCGAAGTTTCTGAATATAGAGTATAAAATGAAATAAAACATTGTACATGTTAGCACACAGCTTCTGTTATGTATGGCGCTGCCCCTGTACGAAATAAACTCTCTCTCTTAAAGTTCTTGAAATTTAAAGTTTGAAGTTTTAAAATTAGTTTATATTTTCATCCTCAATAATGTAAGTTCCAGTTCTTACCTGCAGAATCAAATCGTGAAGGGCACCTCAGTCTAAGAGCCCGATCGCGATCCCTATCGCGGCTAGGTCATGTGAAATGGATTTTTCTACGAGATTGAATTATGGTTTGACAAACAGACAAAAATTAGTATAACATTATGGTTTGTTGATGTTACCTAAACAACAAAAGAAAACATACTGCATTTTCTTTTCAATGTGTTCAATTAAATTGCTCTAATTTTGAATCAAGACACTTCTTTAAACCCTTTATGATAGACACTGCTGAAATCCTGTTGTTTTATGACATTTGATGAGCTGTTGTTTATATTTCTAACTGGAAATTAAAAGTTTACATTATTGTTAAGTCTATTCTTTATTGTCATTGACCATAATGTGGTTACAGAACTAAAATACACGGACACAGAAGTGACTGAGTACTAAAAGATTCCGTCTCATGGGTACCCATTTACAGCAGCTGCTAGTCAAATGCAAGATTCAGGATATCTTGTTCAACACCATCCTATGTTTTTACGGAAACGTTTAGTTCCACACTCCATGAGCTTGCTTGTCACAGTGTGAGGCTCATGCAGTGACAACGGCATCGTGTTTAAGTGGCAATAATTATTGAATCGGGAACTGCATATTCCATTAGGCTTACATGCCGATATCAGGACCTATTCTATTGTCATTGTTATCACTTAGCATTGAAATAAATTAATAAATATACTTACAATCATAATCAGGGTAATTTACACTGAAATGATCAAAATAGGTAAGTACTTTAGTGACTAAGTTTATTTTGGCATGTAACTTTTGTGACTTAGGTTGTTTTGGCATGGAAACTTGTGCTGACTAAGGTTGTTTTGGCATGTAACTTGTGCTGACTTAGGTTGTTTTGGCATGGAAACTTGTGCTGACTTAGGTTGTTTTGGCATGGAAACCTGTGCTGACTTAGGTTGTTTTGGCATGGAAACTTGTGCTGACTTAGGTTGTTTTGGCATGGAAACCTGTGCTGACTTAGGTTGTTTTGGCGGGTAATGAAGTAGTCACAAATGATATGTTTTCAATAAATTTTATAATATTACTGAAAACCCGTGTAACGACTCATAATCCTTCATTGTATGTTTCATGTCATGATTTGAGCCTATTTCCGCCGCGTTATCTCTGGTAAAAATGAAAATACCGTTTTTCGTCTCTCCTGTAAAGTTGCGAAAAGTGACTCAGGTTGTTTTGGCATGCAGCCCTTACTAGTCTCTGAAATTTTACAGAAAAATGGCTCATAGTGAAAAAAACTCAAAATATAATAAAATGGAGCCCTGAGACTTTCTTCATTTTCAGAAGCTGTGGAAATCTAGACTTGCCACATTTTCTATATTGCGTGGGATTTCTTGGATATATTTGCTTCAGGGTCTGGATGACAGACTAGTTCACCCGACATCACTACAGATATAGCTTAGTTATATAAAGCGTGTGTTATCTACACTAGATCTGGGCGACAGCCGGAATGAGGTAACCTCAATTACCAGTTGTTCATGATTACTCCGGTCTGGATCCAGACCGAACCGAAACATACAGGCACGTCCCGTTAGTTCAATACTGAACTGGGTGTCGTCAATATTGAAGTTAGCGACTGTTACGAGTATTAGTCCTTTAATCTTCACCCAAGTAAAAAATGAAATAAATACTATTTTAATAAATATATATTACTCAAATAAATATATATTTACTAAATACCACTCAAGTATATATTACCCTACCCTCTTAAGTCTTCTTGTTTCAAAATTATAATTTAACCGTTGTTTGCAGTTAAATATTGATTGGTTAGTTATGACATCACAGTACTTCATTGTTGGGTTGAATACAAGAAAAAGAGAGGGGGGTTGGGGGTATACTATGTTATAGATTCGATTCTGTAATACGTTGTGTCTGTATACAGACAAAGAAACTAGCACAAACAATAGTATCGAACGCTGATCGAACGCCTATTTTCCCACTTGCCAGTGTCCTATAACAAGGACATGACCTCGAGGCACAGTTGACACTCTCGATATACACAGACCTAGGACAGCGAACCCGTGAGAGAGATCGCTGGGACGAACGCCATACTGTACACAGTAAATGGAATATTCAGTAATTGCAAATTGCGCGTTCGATTTGTTTCAGCGATAGGGTATACTTTTACACAGGCACCAATGCGTCATATGATGGTCCCAGCTGTCAGTGCCATGGCTTATCTATGGTACAGTTGTAAGGACACATTTTATGTTGACATGACTTGAAATAACGCTATGAACATTGATTATATCGGACGGTGGGGTGGCCTAGTGGTTAAAGCGTTCGCTCGTCATGCTAAAGACCCGTGTTCGATGCCCCACATGGGTACAATGTATGAAGCCCATTTCTGGTGTCCACCGCCGTGATATTACTGGAATATTGCTAAAAGCGGCGTAAAACTCAACTCACTCACTCATTAATTATATCAATCAGTAGTCGTTGAGACAACACTACCTTTGGCGGTCAACGTCAAGATCAAACTGAAGCAACGTCAACATTAGGTAGCACGAGGCCTCCACGTGCGAGAACTATTTCATAATCATACTTTTGTTGAAAAATCTGTATTACTTGTTTACTTGAAACATTTAAGTGTGTTTAGACTGCAGTATAATTGTGACCTAATGGTGGAAGCATCGTGTTGCAGAACTGCTTGATGATTACGGTATGTGAAGTAATAATTATAAACAAACTTCGGGTTGAGTATAAAGCTCGCTTAAAGAACATTTGGAGCTCAGAGCTAAATGCTCGAAACAAGGTCAAAGCCACCGATACTTTTGATGTGCCAGTCCTCTCCTATTCCTTTGGAGTTGTTGATTCTACGAAACAAGACATCCAGTGTCTTGACCACCTGACCAGAAGGATCACGTCTGATAACAGAGCCCACCACCCTCGTTTCTCTCTTGATATCGTTTATATATGCCAATCAATTCTGGAGGTCGGGATTTGATTTATCTTGGAGGCTCTTCATGATAGAATATTATTGTGTACTTTTGCACACATTTACTTGTATTTATCGGACGATCCTCTGGTGATGCATGTCAAGACTCATGATGAAAGCAAGGAATTCTATAGCTATTTTAAGCGTGCCAAAGTTGTTGGACAGAACCTGAAATTTGAGGTTGATTTTGTTGATGGCAATGTACTACTGGACGGTACAGCCATGGGAGTAAACCTGGTGAAGTCTTTCACCAAGTCTGGCCAGAGTCGGTCATTTATGGAGAATATTTCTGAGAAGCCATTGCATCGTGTGTACATGCAGTGTGTGGAACAGAACAGTAATCCAATCGACTCCTTCGTCTGGATGAAGTCGGCTGGTCTTAAATGTGAAACTGAGAGCTTTCATTTTGCTGCCCAAGACCAGGCACTTCCCACTCGCAATCGCCTAAATGTGATTCTAAAAGAAAATATTCACATAAAATGTCGATTGCGCTATGAATTTACAGAGACTGTCCAACACCTTGTCAGTGGATGCCCTTCTTTGGCACAAACAGCATATTATAAACGACATGATCGCATGGCTCGTTGCTTCTACTATCGTCTTCGCCATGCCTGTGGTTTGACTCTGAGGTCCATCCATGGTACGACCCTGAACATGTCTAGGGCGTCATGGAAAATGATGCTGTTAAGCTTCTTTGGAATAGGCCTCTATACAGCCTCAGAAGAATTCCAGCCAACAAACCTGATCTTGTTCTTTTTGATAAAGCCAATGAAATTATTTATATCATTGCATTTTCTGTCCCTTTTGAAAGCAACGTGATTGGCAAGATTCAGGAAAAGCATTCTAAATATGCGGACCTCGCCTTTGAGATGTTTCGCTTGCATCCCAAAAGCTGTGACGATACATCGTAGTATCTATAATCGTGATACTTTATCCGACGATAAATATATCGATACTTTTTTCGTATCGTGATATGTATCGTTGACCTGAAAATTATTAATTTTCACCAGAAATTGGCGGTTAGGTCAAAATTTACACAGTTACTTGCTACCAAAATATACAGTTTGAAAGACAATAACTAAAGATAGCATATCGTGATATGCCTCGAATCTAATCGTATCGTTCCAAGATATCGCAAATCGTATCGTATCCTGAAATTTCTGTATCGTCACACCTCTACATCCCAAGTACATTGTCGTCAAGCTCCCCATTGTTCTCGGTGCTCTTGGCTTGGTACCTCCTGATCTCTTGGCGCAGATCAGGAGAGTGCCCGGGTTCTCCATCGGGAGCACAGCCCTTCTGATACTCTGGGTAATGCAGAAGGCTGCAGTGTTGGGGAGTCTACATATTCTCCGGAAAGTTCTTGGTGGGTTCGACTTGGCAGCATTCCATGGGAGAAGTCCCATTCGCTGTCTGGGCTGCGTGTAGAGGGGGCGAGGGCGTTGAGCTGATAATGAGCTTTACCAGCCTGACTGTGCCAGGATCACCCGAACCCTCTCTGCTGCATACTATATTTAACCTGTATAACATCTGTATGACAACAACACAAGTAAAAGTCTCACTTGTATCCCAATTACATTGTCGTCAGGCTCCCCATTGTTCTCGGTGTCCATGGTTTGTTACCTCCTGATCTCTTACCGCTGGAGAACCCCTTCTGGTTGGTTTGTTGTTTAACGCCGCACTCAGCAATATTCCAGCTATATGGAGGTGGTCTGTAAATAATTGAGTCTGGACCAGACAAACCAGTGATCTACAGCACCTTCTGACACTCTTCGGCAATTCCGAAGGCTGTCATACTGGTCAATCTCCATATTCTCCGAAATGTTATTAGCAGCGCTTTCTGGGAGAAATCCCAATCGTGTCTGGGCTGGGTGTAAAAGGGGCAAGAGTCCTGGGTCTAACCAGCCAGACCGTGACAGGATCACCCGAACCCTCTTTGCTGCCTTCATTTATTATAATCTATAAATAATGATAATAGCGCAGAAAATATATATGTGTGTGTTTTGTGCACTTCAGCATCCATGTTGTAACAAGTGTGTTAGGCTGAGACTTTACAGCGGAGTAAGTGAGTTTAGTTTTACGCCGCACTCAGCAATATTTCAGTTATATGGCGACGGTCTGTAAAAAATCGAGTCTGAACCAGACAAGCCAGTGATCAACATCATGAGCATCGATCTACGCAACGGGGATACGGAGACATGTGTTAACCAAGTCAGCGAGCCTGACCACCTGATCCCGTTCGTCAGCTCTTACGACAAAGCATGGGTTACTGAAGATCAATTCTGACCCGGATCTTTACAGAGGAAATAGTGAGAGCAGATTTAAGATTTTCTAACACATTGTTCCATAGAGACGCAGACACGTACGAAAATTCATTTTTCGAAAGTACACGTTTTAGCACGAGGATCTGTGATAAAAAAACTGTATATATCGGTGAGTCCATCGAGGACAGCCAAATCTCTAAGCGTTCACTGAGGCGGAAAGGAGCAAGGATGTGAAATACCTGTGGGCATTGATGCGGATCGTATACATGACTTACGCCAAACTTGACTCGGGTATTTACACGTATATCATCATATATGACTCAAACTATCAATAAAGTGTCGTTGTTTTTTAAATAATTATTTTGTTATAGAACTAAATGTGAATTATACCCTATGTTATGCATTCAAATTTATAGGATTATAGTATCATGTTATATCTTTGTTGATTTTATTGTGTTTAGTTTAGTTCGATTTTATGTTGACTTGTGATTCTTTTTTATGTTTCAGGGTATTGATTATTTTGTACACAAAAAGTGAATATAGGTTTAATTTACATTAAAGTTCTGTGTATTTTGTGTTTTGGAAAATACACATTACACTATATTTTGTTCCGCGTATTTTATATATGTTTGTTGTGATATATAGTATAACACCACATTATGTCAGACGATGTTATATATCCCTCTTTTTATGGGTTTTCTGATACTTAAGAAACATTGGCTGTCATCTTTCTAATCACATGAACGACTAAACGACCATAAATTGGGTGTAAATATATCATATGCCCTTTACAGGCCTGTACACCATGTGTTTTGGGGACGAGGAACACATTTGTTCAAGTCCAAAAATAAATTATTATCTTCTTCTTCTAAACACCACGCTTGTGAGTAGGAAAGATTATTCGTGTCTGGTTGTAACAATACAATACATGGGGGCACTCTTTTACCGGTTACGGTAATCCATTAATTAATTAACCTATTGGAAATGTGGCTTTACCGGCTACAGCCATGTAATTGAAATGTGGCCTTCCCGGCAATAGTCATTTTTTAAATGTGGCTTTCCCGGCCTGTCACCGCTGAAAGTGATGACGAGACTGTTGACTTATACGTACTTCACAACTGACCTTGATCAGAAACTGTAACAGCGGCATATGTGGGACAAACTGACGTCACCGAAATCTTACAACGGTTGTAATAAACACCTGAATCTACTACTTGATGATACAAATCAAACACACACACACACCCTCCGAAACACCACCTTTGACAAACATACCACGTTTCTAATAACACAATAGGCTGAAATGTAGGTCGGGGTATTCTAAGCCAGGAAATCGGCGTTAAACAACAAACGGGTTATTCCCGTTTATTCCCCTTCATTAATCTTATCTATTAAGGATTAGGATTAGCTGGGCCAGCCACGGTGTTGGGGCAGTAAGTTACCTGTGAAATTATATCCATAAAATTTTAACCCCTACCATGAGGATGTTAAAAATTGAACACAACAACGTCTTCATCTGGGATACACAATAAAAAATTGTACACTGAAAATCAACTTACAAATGCCATTAACATCAGTTACATCTATTTGAATACATATAGTGTGTTGTCGAATACTTAAACAAATTAGACCTATCACTTAAATATTAATATACCATACATAGACGTATACATACCTAAATACATACATAGACATATGCATACATAGACACTTACATACATACATAAACACAAACAACACACACACACACACACACACACACACACACACACACACACATACATCCATCCATCCATCCATCCATCCATACACACACACACACATACATACACACATACATACACACATACATACACACATACATACACACATACATATCACATCACATCACATGCATGGAGAGATAGTACATAGAAAAATAAAACTAGTTAGTTAAAATTAATGCATTAAAATTATTTACTGTTTTCTTGAAAGGATTTTTTGTGGAACATACTTTGCAGACTTTTGGCTAGTTCGTATTGGATATCATCATTTGATATACTATTTGTAAAAAATCATGCTCAACACTGTAAAAATGGTGTTTAGGATCTGAACATGTTTAGCTACCTAAACATGTAAAAAAAAACGGACAAGATACGCGTTTAGGATTGTGTTTAGCATTGTGTTTAGCATATCAGTACGTAGTTGTACCCAAATAAACATATACTTCCCAACAATCCTGATTATCACCTGAAAATGCGAGAGCATTAAGTTCATGAAGACCAATTTTATTTCTAGTTTTACAAAACTTGATATATAGGCTATGGAAAACAGTGAAATGTTTAGAGGCTGTATATGCATACCCAGTGTTAAAAGAATTCACTGAGTGTATACAGTACAAATAATTAATTTGGTCTGGTTAACCCCTTTGATAAAATTATCAAATAAAAAACTCAAAGAAGCCTTCCTAGAAAACAATGATGGATGTTCAAAATACAAGCACAAACTTTCCAAATCTCTTGCTGTAGTGTTAATTTTAAAAAGGTCAGAATTCTGTCACCAATTACTATAAAACACAAATACCAATGAATAGGGAAAAGCTAAACTTTGTTTGGAGAATGCAGAAACAATCCAAATGGAGTTGGTCCCAAAATTCTAATTCAAACAATAAAATCAGCATACTGAGATTAGGTCCAACCCGCATCAAAGTCAGAAATGGAAATCAATCTTTCTTTAAATAGTTTTAAGAAAACATATTTACAAAATTATGAGATCTACCCAAACAATGATGCAGAACCCCCCTCCCTATGGTCTTTAGCAAGACATTAACTTAACCCATTATGTATCGGTTCTGTGCAGGAAATTTTCTTTGCAAACATAATGCACTGAAATAAAATGAAGATCACTGTAAACTGAATTTTTTTAATCATTTCAAGTTGTAAAATATTAGCAAAATACTGTAAACACAATAAAAACTGGACTTATTGTTCATGTCTGGTGCCAGTTGGTACTGGTAATTGTCACTGGAAAGTGTTTACTGACTTAAACTATCCTCCAGTTCTTTCACAAACTTCTGGTAGTTTGATCCCTTGAATAAAGGTGTACCGTCTCCAAGAACATAAGTTTGGAGTAGTCCAAGTAGTTGAAAACGTTTTGGATAACTTAGATCCCAAGCGTAGTAGGAAAACATGAGTGTCAGCATTGCCTCCTGTACATTGTTGCTGACCTTCATCTGTATGTTGTCTCCTACAATGTAGGCGCTGGCGATGCTTGTGTTAGTGCCATTTATTAGCACCAGTCTGGGTGCTTCGTTCCTTCCTGAGGACAAGTCAGCATCCTTCACCTGAAATTCAAATGAAGGAAAGTTGAATGTATGAGTAGAAATACCACATGGCAGATATAAATACATTAAATGAACACATTCAGTTCTCTGAAATAACTTTTACAAATAATCTTTGACTGAATATATACACTACAACAATTCTTCAGGCAATGACAAAAGCTTGTTGCAGATAGTTAACTTACATCCATTCGTGTAATTAAATCTGGCAATGCTTTCTTCGATTTTGACACGATCTTAATTTTTGTCTCCAATAACTTCAACAGCTGCAGTGTTGATTCTGGGTTGTCCAATTCTTTGTCTTCCTGAAAGATCAAACCCAAAAGGCGAGGTTAGCTTCAAACACATATATAGTAATAGATACAAAGATAGCCTTGCTCCAAGGCTGTACTGAATGCTAGGCCCGTTGGTGTATTGTAATTCTAACCTTTAAAGAAGCAAGTCTAGATTGGCGGACAGTACACTAAGGTTCCGTCTCTTAGAGGAACATTTATATTGTTATAGAAATTATCATTTAAACTATTTATTATTACCTTAGAGACTTGTGCAAGTCTAATACAAAGATACCATGCATATTAGCCAAAGTATATGTCCTTTAAGCAGACATGTCATGGGTGGACACCAATTGGTCAGTCCCGGGTGCCTATTCGTAGGCTATATATGCATTTTGACTCCAAAGAATAACAGATATTTCAAACACAACCTCCCCAGATTCATGCCTACAAACATAGAGTGGTCATTTAGGTTCAGCAACTGAGCTAATGCACAGTTCATTTTAGATGTCATTAGGCGAAAAAATAAAATAAAATAAATGAATTGGTTCTCAGGCAATGGGTTTTCAAAACAAGTCATCAGACGATGACAAATCCCCCTGGCCCCCACAAATTTGAAAGAACAAATCATCTGATGATTGATCGGTTGTAATGAACCAATTATCAATTGTGAGATTTTAACCAATTCCCAACACTAGTCTCAAGTGCATGGGTGTCTAGTTTGACTCAACATCTGTTGTTTTAGGGGATTATCACGCTTGGATGGGAGGATCCCAACCACCCAACCACCAACAACCTCAGCTATTGTGTAATCAATCACATGGCGCTGTAATTTGCTAACCCAACGGTGCAGTTAAGTGAAGTAAAAGTGATCGACATCTGCTAGCGCTGAGATCACATGCCTTTGCAAACATCTGGGTTAGAGTTAGTGAACCCGTACAAATGCCTTTGAGTTATTTTGTGACCTTTACGATCTATGATTTACGACTGAACGAAACCTTATGACACATCTCCAATGTAAGGCTTATACAGGAACACGTGTAGCAGAAGCCTTACATTTGATTCATAGATCAGGTGGGTGAATTACTTGAGGAGAATCGGCTGTCTGACAATATCAGAGCATTGATATACCTGAAGTTTAAATTGGCTTGACCAAATTCCAGTGTTCGAATTTTGCCAGAGCGGTAATTCCGAGTTATTGCGTGGGTTGGGTTAAACCCAGATAGCATTCAGACGTTGGCCGAAGGTAACAATGGTTTTGCCAACATTGCCAATGTTGGGCCAACGTCCGAATGCTATCTGGGAAAGACTGTCTTGCGAGGTTATTCATAATCTGAAATATTAATACAAAGAAATACTCGAATGATGTGTTGGGAGTGAGTGAGTGAGTGAGTTGGCGTCAAAGTCACGTGGTACAGTGTTCCAGTTACGTCACGAGGTATGTCCGAAGTGATGCAGATATTAAATGTTTTATCCCTTTGGTGAAACCGTATCCACATGTGAACCTAGATTCGTAGCATTCGTAACTACTCGTGTCATTCCCGCAAGCCGGATGGCGACTCGTACCCCTCTCGTGACCATGTTCACGACTGGGCCTTGTCTAAGCACAAACGGGCACGGAGATAAATACAGTCGAGGACTATTTCCAAGGAAAGATAACTCTGAATTTCCAAACATAGCTACCCCGAGAAAACGCCAATTGATTTATAATATAACACGAAAGTCACTTTAAGTAAGTTTTCTTTGTCGTTAACAAATATCAGTCAGAAGATAATTTTATAACCCCGGATATAATAATAAAAATCGATAATCGCAAAGAAACTATTTGACCTCATTTCACGCTTTACTACACGCGATTTGATTGGTTTGGCACGATTCCTGGCAATCATGGCGTACTATACATGTACGAGTCTTGTAGGTCACGGAAACAGGCGAGTAGCTACGAACGGATTCGTAGGTTTCTGGTGTACACAAGGGACGCAACTCTGTACCGCAATGTAGAAGACTGAGTTAACCGCGCCCCCGTAATTTTGAAAACGACGAAATTCTTATCATGATTCATACTGCGACAATAAAAAAAAACACCTGAGCATAGGGAAGCAAATATTTCTTGTGGTGGATAGCACGCTGTGAAGGGATGGAGATTTACATGGTAGGGGAAGTGTCACCTTGGATTTAGAACAAGTCGCTCTTACCGATGTAAGGGTTAAGCATGACTGTCGTTGTGTAACATGTACAGAGGGTGTCATCGATTTATGCCCACATCAGTAGGAGTACAGTGAACTTGACATTGACCGTTGTGGCAGAAATACTCTCGATCTACGTTCTTAATGTCATGGCGTGTTTAAAGTAGTTCGGGGATCATTTATTGCCTGCAGTTCTTTTAAAGATTGTAGGCGTCTTTTATCTGGTAGATATCAGGTCAGAATGATTTGGAATACGTGTTAGGCTTTGAAAACATGTTTGAAAACCGACTATGTATACTGATTGTATGGGCAGGTGGTATTTAGAAGATGTAGTGAAAATGAAGACTGGGAGATACAATAACCCCTTCCCTTTCCTCTTTCCCTATCCCTCTCTCCCTTTCACTTTCCCTCACTCAACCTTTTCCCGTCTCTCCTTCCCTCTCCCCTCCCCCACCGCTCTGGCTTTCAGAGCCCCTCTCTCTCCCCTTCCCCCTCACTCCTCTATTCTCTCCCTATGTCTGTCTTTCCCTCCCTCTTCCCCCTCCCTCTCTCACTGTACCCTTCTCTCACTCCCTTCCCCTCCTCCTCTATTCTCTCCCTATCTCTGTCTTTCCCCCTCCCTCTCCCTCCCCTCTCTCACTGTACCCTTCCCTCACTCCCCTCCCCCTCACTCCTCTATTCTCTCCCTATCTCTGTCTTTTCCTCTCTCCCTTTCTCTCTCCCTCTTCCCTTACCATCTCTCCCCTTCACTCTCTCCCTTTCCCTCTCTCTCTCCCTTCCCTCTCTCCCTCTTCCCTTACCATCTCTACCTTCCCTCTCTCCCTCTTCCCTTACCATCTCTCCCCTTCCCTTACCATCTCTCCATTTCCTTCTGTCCCTCTTCCCTTACAATCTCTCCCCTTCCCTCTCTCTCCCTTTCCTCTATCTCCCTCCTCCCTCTCCCTTACCATCTCTCCCTTCCCTTACCATCTCTCCATCTCCTCCTCTGTCTCCTCTCCCCTTCTCTCCTCCCTTCCCTCTCTCCCTTCCCTCTCCCCTCCCTCTCTCTCTCCCTTACCATCTCTCCCTTCCCTCTCTCTCTCCCTACCATCTCCCCTTCCCTCTCTCCTTCATCCCTTCCCATCTCTCCCTTCCCCTCTCTCTCCTTCCCTCTACCATCTCTTCCCTTCCCTCTCTCTCCCTTACCATCTCTCCTTCCCTCTCCCTCATCCCTTACCTCTCCCTTCTCTCCTCTCTCATCCCTTTCCCTCCTCCCCTTCCCCTCTCTCTCATCCCTACCATCTCTCCCCTTCCCTCTCTCCCATCCCTACCATCTCTCCCTTTCCTCTCTCTCTCATCCCTTACCATCTCTCCTTCCCTCTCTCCCATCCTCCTCTCCCTTCCCTCTCTCTCCTCTTCCCTTACCATCTCTCCCTTCCCCTCTCTCTCCCCTTTCCTCTCTTCCCCTTCCCTCCCTCCCCTCTCTCCCTTCCCTCTCTCTCCCCTTCCCTCTTCCCTCCTTCCTCTCCTCTTCCTTTCCTCTCCCTATTTCTCTCCTTCCTCTTTCCTACCCCCTCCCTCTCCCCTCTCCCCCATCCTCTTCCTCCTTCCTCTCTTCCTCTCCCATTTCCTCTTCCCATCCTCCCTATCACAAAAGCCACCCCTCACCTCATGGTAGTTCTCCACTTCTTGAAACCCGCGACTTCTATCTAACAAAATGTCAGTGTTAACGTTGATGCCCACGTTTCTACTACTCATGCGACTAATAGGCACGTCAATGACTGTCCGCCCCGTGGCAACCTTCAAGACACCTGCAGGCGAGAATCCTTTCAGAATCATTGCGAAACTCCCCTTGCGTTATGAACGTAGATCAAGAGTATTCTTGTCACAACGGTCAATGTCAAGTTCACTATACTCCTACTGACGTAGGCATAAATCGATTAGACCCTCCGTACACGTTACACAACGACATTCATGCATAGCCCTGACATCGGAAAGTGCAAACGGTAATGCGGATAATTAGAAATGCTATACAAAGATACGGACGCTATTAGCGTTGTGATTGTCAGCATCATCATTATTCCTATTATTATCCTCATAGGTGTGTTTTGCTGTACAGATTTAAATAGATGAATACAGCAAAGGGGGTTCGGGTGATCAGGCTTGTTAAGCATGTATACTCTTCAAAGAAAAAACGCACAGGTGATTTTGAGAATATTGGGCTCATGTAGCTGAAGCCAATATAATACAAATATAATATTTATTTCCAAAACGTCATCTTGGTGTGATTGTAAACAGCTTCAGCGCCATAACACGGCAATTTTAACTTTTTCCGTTGTTTTAGAAGCGTTTTAGAAACGTTAACCAAAACGTCACCAACAAATCATGCAAAGTAAAATGCACGCGCAAGTAAGCGAAAGCATGCGGTATCGATCATTATGAAAAGGCCAACATTGTGTTTAATTTTGTCATTTGTTTTTGCCTGAGAAGAGGAAATCATCATGCCACGACTGAGTGCCGCCAATCGAAACATCGCCATTGAAGCTGGGGAGTCGCAGTCTGCAGTTGCCCGACATTTCAACGAATATCAGAGAACCATATCTCGCCTTTATTATCGTTTCCTGCAGACCAATTCCGCCTTAGATCGCCAGAGAAGCGGCCGTCCAAGAGCTACCACCCAAGCCCAGGACCGCTACATCCGGGCTCCTCACTTGAGTTATCGTCTTGCCACAGCCGTGGAGACTGCACAACGCATCCCTGGTTTGAGAAGAATTTCCGACCAAACTGTCAGGAATCGATTGCGTGAAGTGGGGATTCGACCAAGAAGACCAGTTGTCAACCCTGTTTTGAGAGACTTCCATTGGCGCAATCTCGTGCGGTGGTGTCGTAGAGCGGCACCCGCTTGGACATTGGAGGCGAGTCTGGTTCAGTGGTGAAGACAGCGTATTTACCGTCGGAGAAATTAACGTTTTGCCCCTAATAGCATTCGGCAGGTCGACAGATTTGGTGGAGGTGGTGTCCTGGTGTGGGGTGAGATATATAGCAAACAAAGATCGGATTTAGTGATGGTGCAGGGAAATGTGATAGCAAATCGGTACGTCAACGAAGTCCTTCCACGTCACATACTTCCGGTTATGGACCGACAGAGGGAGTTGCTCCTGCATGACAACGCTACTGCACATACAGTACGCGTCACGATTCGCTACCTTGCCAATTCTAACGTCAATGTTTTGCCATAACTTTCCCGACCACCATATCTAAACTCGATAGAACACCTATGGGAAGAACTCGATCGACGTGTACGTCAACGTCAAAACTTCCACAACGGGCCATCGCATTGCAGGAAGAGTGGGGAAGAATTCCGCAAGAGCGACTTCGTCGAATTATCCAGTCTGTGCCGAGACGGTGCCGAGCAGAAAGTGCTGCCAGTGGCAGCTATACAAAGTACTGACTTTGACGCCATCTTGTGGACTCGAGTAAACAGAAACACACATAAAGGCCGCTGTTGTGTTGGCGAACTCTTTGTCTATACACGTGTGAATTTTCACCTTTTCCGTTGAAATTACATGAAATAATTGCTCTTAAACTAACGCTGTAAAGTCTTGGCTTATGCTTTTCTTTTTTGAAGAGTGTAATGCGTTCATCGCCTTTGACCTCTTCACACGCAGCCCTAGACATCTCCCATATCTGCCAGGAAGCACTGCCCAGTTGAACACGCCAAGAAGGGCTACCGGCGGAGAACCCAGGCACACGCCTGACTTGCATTAAGCGGTCTGGAAGTACCAAACCGAGGGCACCGAGATCAATTGGGAGCCCGATGATCGATGGGGAGCTCAAGGGGCATCGATGTATATGCTGTCACTGACGGGGTCTTAACACTATGTAAAAGGATATATTTTTTTGATAGTAACAAATAAACCCATTTAAATTGAAAACTAGCCCCAATGAGATGGGGGATTCAGAGGAACCTAAGAAAATTTAGATTTGCTTCATTTCGGTCATTCGCATTGCAGAGAGGGCTGGGCAGTAGGGAAAATAATGTGGTTCAGGGACTGTGAGACCGGCTATTCTATGAGACATTTCAAAGACAAGGCGTTGTCGTTAAACTGATGTTATTGCTATTCTTACTTCACATACCGTAATCATCACGCTGTTCTGCTGCCACCATTAGGTCACAATTACACTGCAGTCTAAACACACTTAAATGATTGAAGCAACCAAGTAACACAGATTTCGACAAAAGTATGATTATGAAATAGCTCTCGCACGTGGAGGCCTCGTGCTACCTACTGTTGACGTAGATTCAGTTTGATCTTGACGATGACCGCCAAAGGCTGGCTGTGTTGTCTCAACGACTATTTTCAGCCAGCAATGTCACTCCACCTCAAGAGAAGAGAAAGGAACCGAAGATATAAGTGGCAGCCATGGCGTCTCATGCGTTTACTTTCTCATAAACAAGTCCTCAGTTCCTTTCGTAAATACAAATATAATTGGCAGTTTGTACATGTTATGGAAGGTGTGTAGAATATGCCATTGTGTAACAATCTCGCTAATTGAGCATTTTGTTGATACAGACTATATGGCTCATCTGGACATACGTTATCAAAACACTAACCCTGGCCAGCCAGATCCCACTCTGGCTATGTGAGAGACCTGTTTTGACAGAATCTGGTTAAGTGACAGGACACCACTGGATCCGACTATTGCCATTATGTACTCACAACTACATACATGATACTTACAGATGCTACTTTCACAGTCTGGTTTACGATTATATATTTGAACATGAACGTATAATCCACTTAGATGTAAGTATCTTATATATACGAATAAGTATTAGAAGTAAGTGTCTTCTCCGTAGATGTAAGTATCTTCTACGTAGATGTAAGTATCTCAACGTACATGTAACTACATGTATCTTATACCTATATGTAATTATAAGCATTAGATGTAAGTATCTTCTACGTAGATGTAAGTATCTTCTACGTAGATGTAAGTATCTCAACGTACAAGTAAGTACATGTATCCTTTACCTATATGTAATTATAAGTATTAGATGTAAGTATCTTCTACGTAGATGTAAGTATCTTCTACGTAGATGTAAGTATCTCAACGTACAAGTAAGTACATGTATCCTTTACCTATATGTAATTATAAGTATTAGATGTAAGTATCTTCTACGTAGATGTAAGTATCTTCTACGTAGATGTAAGTATCTCAACGTACAAGTAAGTACATGTATCTTATATCTATATATAATTATAAGTATTAGATGTAAGTATCCTTTACGTAGATGTTAGTATCTCAACGTACAAGTAAGTACATGTATCTTATACCTATATGTAATCATAAGTATTAG